TCTTTCCCTTACGCCATCTATACCCAGCGTGTGCGCAGTGGGAAGATCTATGTGGAGAGAGTCCAGGGGAACTCGGCCTTGTTGCACATCACGGATCTCCAGGCCCGGGATGCGGGGGAGTATGAATGTCACACACCCAACACCGACGAGCGGTACTTTGGGAGTTACAGTGCCAAGATGAACCTAATGGGTAAGGAGATGCTGTTTTCACATGGCCAGTGTCTGGCCTGAGTTGCTTCTTTTGAAGTACAGCTTTGTTTTATACCATACATTTGACCTTAAAAAAAAAATTGTGGTGCCGGCAGATGACGTAGTGGCTAAGGGTGTTGGACTTCTACATGGCCAACCACAGTTTGAGTCCTGGACCGGGTGGCTTTCTCTCTCTCTCTCTCTGTCCCTCCCTGGTCAAATCAAAATAAAGAAAGAAAGAAAGAAAGAAAGTTAAATAAAAAAAAACCTTTTTTTTTTTTAAAAAAAAAAAAACACTAAAGCTTCCCAAATATCTTAGGGGTTAACACATACCAGATGGAAACAAAATCTCTGTGTTCACCTGGAAATAATGTAAGGTTGAGGCCAACATATACAAAAGACCTAATGCAGTTGCTGAGAATTTCAGAGAAGGTTAATCCTGAAGGTAGTTAGTGAAAGAGGATATGAAAATATAAGGCAAGGACATTTGTGCTTGATCTGAACAATGATGAAGAAGATGAAGTATTTGACATCAGCTGGAAGAGAAGCAAACCCCTAGGAATGGATGGGCCCTTGGTCAGGCTCCGAGATGCATGGGGCTCTGCGGAATCCGAAGCCCGTGTGGCCTGGTCAGTCCTCCAGGGCATTTGCAGGTCCTTTGTCTCCCTGACTAGGAATTGTGAACCTCTTAACTTCTTGAATGATGGAGGAAGCTTGAGCAGAGGGACTAGGGAGCTTTCAATGTGCATAGCACTGGCCACGATGTTTGCTGGTATAATAGGGTTAAGCAATATCAAGGCTGTTCTGTTTTTGTTGCTTTTTTGCTGAAGTCTTAATTTCTAGTTTTATTATCCCAATTAAACAAGCGGTGTTGACACCTTTTTTTATTAACACAAATACTGTCCTTTGTTTGCTTTTCCTTTTTCTAACAAGTCTGTGTCCCAGGAGGCCTTTAAGACCCAATCCTGGGATGTGTACAGGGAGAAAACAGACACACACTTGTGATTGGGGTGCCCTCATCAGACAGAGAGGTGGTAGTGCTTAATCTCCAGAAAGATGTAAGAATCAGGGTAAATGCTTGACCAAGGGACCATGAAGGAAGTCTCTTCCCATGCCCGATCATCCCTGTACTGTGACTTTCTTTTTGGGTAAACCACTTTGGCTGGTGAATTATTTAAAAAATTATATTTATTAAAAATAGGTAATAATGATGATTTTTCCCTCCCAAAGATATTTATTTTAAAAACAAATAGCCTTCCTAGGACAATGCATTGCTGAAGTAATGTGGAGAATGAGAAGACAGGGTAAGGGGAAGGGGGAAAATGAGGACATTATATAGAAATGGACAACTGAAAGTTCAGTAGCCATTTTCATTTGTAGATCAGTCAGAAGTAAAATAAAGTATCTCAAAGCCAAAATCAATAAATCTTATTTGACCTAAAAGGAAATTCTTCTTACAAAGTATTTTTAGAGTTCATGTTTCATGTAAAACGAAATACAATCCATGTTTTATCAGAGTGTTGTTAAAATATGAAACAGGTAAGTGTACGTGTCAAAAAATGCCTTCCAGGGACCAGCAGTTAGCGTAATGGCCATGTCGCTGGACTCCCACGTAGTCGACCACGGTTCGAGTCCCGGACCCGGTGGCTTAAACTCATGCCGGGCGCGTGTGTGTGCGTGCCCAAGATCCTGAGAGGAGAATGGAGGAGAAGGGATTGCGGCGTGGCCATCCCCCCTGGGGGGTGATTTCCTGCTTTCTGTCTCTCTGTCTCTCTCTGTCTGTCTGGCGAGCGCACGCGCCCTATAGCAAAAACCTCTTAAAAAAAAAAAAATGCCTTCCAGATCCCCGCAGAAGACTGTGTAGGTGCCTAATGCTGTCTGTGATCTTGAGTGATTGTTGAAGACTGAGGGATGCAGTGGTAGTGATGTCCACCAGGGTGGAGCTTAGCTCCGAAAGAGCTGTGACTTTGTGACCGTGCGCTGTGTGACCTGTGGCTTTGTGACCTTGTGCTGTGTGACCTGTGGCTTTGTGACCTTGCACTGTGTGACCTGTGGCTTTGTGACTGTGCACTATGTGACCTCGGGTTGTTTCTCTGTTGCAGTGATCCCCGACACCCTGCAGGCCACTGCTGTGCCCCAGACTCTGCACAAAGTGGAGCAGGACCCACTGGAGCTCAGCTGTGAGGTGGCCTCAGAGACATTCCAGCATGGTCACCTGTCTGTGGCCTGGCTGCGGCAGAAAGGCGGTGAGAAACCGGTAGAGGTCATTTCCCTGAGCCGAGACTTCGTGCTTCACTCCAGCAGTGAATATGCCCAGAGGCAGAGCCTGGGGGAGGTGCGGCTGGACAAACTGGGGAGGACCACCTTCCGCCTCACCATCTTCCACCTGCAACCTTCCGACGAGGGCGAGTTCTACTGCGAGGCTGCTGAGTGGATCCAGGATCCGGATGGGTCGTGGTATGCCATGACACGGAAGCATTCCGAGGGAGCTGTGGTCAACGTCCAGCCTACTGGTCAGTCTCTCTGAGCCTCTTGTCCATTTACTTTAGTTGGTGGTGAGGGTTTTCAGACAATGGGAGGGTGTGGGGACTTGTCTTCACAGTGCAATAGGCTTTTACAGTACAGTAGGTTTTTGTATGTAGTTAGTGGTTGTCCTGTTTGTTGCCAGAGGAAGTTGAGGGACATACAGGACATAGGTCTTGGGACCAGCAGATGGTGTAATGGTTATGTTGTTGAACTCCCACATAGTTGACTGCGGTTCAAGTTCCAGACCTGGCAGCTTAAAACTCATGCTGGGCACATGTGCATACATGCCCAAGATCCCAAGAAGAAACTGGAAAAGAAGGAATTGTGGTGTGGCCATCCCCTATGGGGAGTGATTTCTTGCTTTCTGTCTTTCTGGAGACCATGCGTGCCCTATGGCAAAAATCTCTCTTCAAAAACAAAAAAGAACATAGGAACATAGGTCTTCTAACACCTGACTGCCTTCTTTTTTTTTTTTTTTAAATTTATTATTTTTTTAATGACAGAGGGTGTGTGCATGCACATGAGAAAGTACCCAACAATAGGGCCTTATCATGCCGTAATCTTTTTTCCAGTTTTCCATTTTGTCAGGAATGTACTCAGCATGTTTTTCAAATCTTCAAGATCAGGACCTGAACTCTGATTGGCCATGGGGATCTGACTTTCTCTGCATGACCCTTAACCACTGTGCTACAGGGCCAGTCCCTAAGACCTGACCTTCTAAGGAATCACAGACAGGCGCCACCCAGACTAAACCCTGCCTATAGAGATGTTTTCTTTGATCTACCTGATATTTTACGTTTTCTGGAATGATTGGGTCATTGGGAAATTCATGATGCATTTTTGCATAGAAAAATATGCCATGACTTTCCCAACAACCTAATACAATTTATTTAGACAGTGAATCTTCCATCCGAGGTATAAAATTAGGAACTAGAGGAATTTTGGCTTAAGTTATTGATTTATTTATTTTGCTAAAGGGTGCATGTGTTCATGGATACAGAGAGAGAGAGAGAGAGAGAGAGAGCAAGCACACCTGCCCAGAGCAGATGGACATGCCATAGTCCCTTTTCCTACATTCTTCTCTTGGGATTTTGGCCATGCTTGCATGTCCGCGCAGCATGTTTTCCAAGTTTCCAGGCTGGACTTAAACCATGCAGTCAGCCATGTGGGATCCATTTTCCTTATCTACGACACCACCTACTGGCCCCAAATTATTATTACTTTTTAAATTTTAATAATATTTTTGGCAATATTTTATAGTTTCCAAAATGCTTTATCCTATATTACTGCAAAGTCCCACAGAAGTTCTGTGAGGTAAGCAGGTGGCAGGAGTCCCATTTTGCAGGTGAGAGTGCTGAGTGTAGAGGAAGAGCCACACACAAGGCATGCTGATGAGGCCAGTCTAGAGAGAACGAGTTCCACCGGAGATGTTTTCTCAAGTGGAGACCTGGAAAGGGTCCTTGAGGAGTCTGAGTGATATGTTTAGAGCTGGGGCGAAGATGTGGTGGCACAGTGGTCCAAAACCTGCTCTGACTCCTCCAGCATTTTCTGTGATGACCTCAGACTCTACTGTGCAGGCTGTTGAGGCCACCAGGCTCCAAGGTAGAGCTGATGGCCGCTCTTGGCTGCCGCAGCTGGGAGAGGTCCTTGCATGGGGCTTCGGTTCCCCAGCTTTGGATGGAGAGTGTAGTGCTCTTGTTGGGGTGCATTGAACAGCTAAGAGTCTTTCCTTGTATGGATCTCATCTCTGCTAAGGGCTGCATGTTCCTAGTGAGAGAGGGGAAGTGTGAGTACAAGTGAGATCTCTTTTCAGGACTTTCATCCTGAGCTCCCTGTGCCGGTTGCTAGCTTGTTGTCTTGGTCTTTGCATAGTCCCACTGCCATTTTGAAGCACTACTGCAGAGACACCTAACAGTCCACACTCCTCGGCCTCATCCCCAAGTCCTGAATCACTTTGGGAGGTTCCTGAGGAGGACCTGGAAACACGGTTGCCAGTCTGTTTCCCAGGTGATTCCTCTGCTGTCTACATTTTGTCCAGCACAGCTCTATGAGGACTAGCGTGGAAGTATTCTTGGGACATCTGAGGGGTATGAGGGCTTCTCCTGGTGCCTGCATATGCTCTGTAGGACCCAGAACACGTAGTAGCTTCTGAATCTTCCAATTAAAAAAAAAAATCTGGAAACCAGCAGTTGGCATAATGACTATGTCACTGGACTCCCACCTAGTCGACTGCAATTCAAGTCCTGGACCTGGTGGCTTAAACTCACGCCCGGTGTGTGTGCGTGCGTGCCCAGATCCCGAGAGGAGATTGGAGGAGAAGGGATTGTGGCGTGGCCATCCCCCTCTGGGGGATGATTTCTTGCTTTCGATCTCTCTGTCTCTCTGGCAAGCGCATGCGCCCTATAGCAAAAACCTCTCAAAAAAAAAAAAATCTGTTGAAGGAGCTTTATTTCATATTTATCCTATCTCTTCCTGGATGGTTTTAAGATCAGCTTCAAAAGTATGGGCCAAGTTTTGAGTCTTAAACTTTCAAATTAGGTTGCATCAGTTAATCTTCTTTATTTTAATCTTACCAATTTAGAATTAGGACTTTTGGAATCTGCCCTGCAAATGTATCCAGACTAAGCCAGAAAGAAAACTGAGTGAAAAAAAAATAAAGAAGAAGAAAAAGGAAAGTTATGACTTCATCCTGCTCAGCAGTTACATCTCCCACTTTGCTCTTCCCCTAGTTCATTTCCATCCATGTTTAGAGCCAGGGTCTACAGCACTGAAGGTGTGGCCATAGGTGTAGGAGAGTCGGAGATGGATACCCTTGGTCTTTGCACTCAGGGCGCTTGCAAGCCTGGACCCCAGTGGCCAGGTAGAATGTTCTAGATGCTATGACAGCATTTGTATAGCGTGCTCTGCATACCCAGTAAACATGAACTGCTCTTGTGACTGTAGGTTTTCCCTGGATGGGAGAGTTGTTAGGCAAACTCAGGGAAATCAGTAAGTTTATTTAATTGAGCCAAGCCTTGAAGCTTAAGGAAACAGCAGGAGGAGAAGCTTAAAGGAACAAGATTGTTTCATATGTTTGGCAAACAGAGAAGTCAAGTGTGACTGGAGGTTGAGTTCCAGGTACAAGTGATGGGAGGAGAAAGACAGGGTAGTCTGCAGCCCCGAATGTCGTGACATGGAACTAGGACTTGACTGTGGAGCAGAGGTTTCAAGCTGGTCTTCTTGAAACCTTCGAGCTTCTTAGAGGGCCTTAGGAGGTTGCATCTGGGTGTGTGCATGTACATGTGTAAGTAAGGGGTGCAGAGAGAAGGGATGTGAGCACCTGTGTGTTACCCCCTTCTGTCACCCCAGTGTTTTCTTTCTTTCTTTCTTTCTTTTTGGGAGATTTTTGCTGTAGGCCGTGTTCCCTCACGGAAGACACAGAGAGAGAGACAGACAGAAAGTGAGAAATCCCCTCCCCCGCTTTGGGCAGGGGTTTAGCCATGCTGCAATCCCTTCTCCTCCATTCTCTCAGGATTTTAGGCATGCACACACATGTGCCTGGTGTGAGTTTTAAGCTGCCATATCTGGGACTCAAACCATGGTCGACTATGTGGGAGTCCAGTGAAATAATCATCATGTCATCTGCTGGTCCTTCCCCCAGTGTTTTCTGTATTGGGCAGCAAAAGATTTTGTATTAAGAATGGAAATCTCCATCTTCTACCCTCACCTTCATAAAGTTTGAAAACCCCAGCTACAGGAAGTTGGGGTGGGGTAGTAGGGATGGGATTGAGATTTTAGAGTAAGGAGTGATATAATCAGATCAGGAATTTTAAAGAACAAAACCCATGGAGGCCACCTAGAGGTTGCTTAAACAGGTTGGGTCTGAAGTCAAGAGACTAGGTAGGAAAGAGTTAATGAGGCCAGGGCGAGGTTAGTGGCAGTGGCCTGGAAGAAGGCAGTGGGTGCTAGAGGCAAAAGAATGGAGAACACATGGAAGGAGGAACCCATCTGGCCAGAAGCCCAGGGGCTGAGGCTGGGGCTCCCATTGCCTCCTTGAACTGCAGGAGGGAGGCAGGAGGCAGGGATGGTAATGAGGATGAGCAGAGTCTGGCTTGGCAGTCTCTGCCTTCCCATTAGTGGCAGCCCTGGCTGTCTTTTCTCGAACTTTCGTACATGTAACACAAGGGTACGAAACCCCAGTGAGTCCTTGGATAGTCTGTAGCTCACTTAGAGGCTGAACTGGGGAATGAGGAGGGCCCAGGCAAAGTCTATAGGGTTAGTGTAGGACGGGGCTGGAGAACAGCAGGATCCAGCCAGGGAGAGAAGAGCAGAGTGGTCAGGCCCGCAAGAAGAGAAGCAGGAGGGAAGGCACCGTGGAACCCAAGGGATGAGAGTGGTCCAGACGTTGAAACCCGCTTGTGAAAAGCCTTCGGCTATGATGGGGGGGTGGGGGTAAGGTGAACCTCTGGTGACATTTGCTAGGTGGGTAAAGTGTGGGAGAAGGCCTGGAAGCCAAATTTCAGTGAGCTAAAGAGGGAGGGGTATTGGAAAAAGCATTCATAAATTTCTAGCCATTTGATTGGGTATAACCAAGGGCAAGTTGCTATGCAGAAGGGGAGGTGGTATGCAGTAAATCTGGTGTCTTCAACCTGGTATGTAAAGGCTTCAGCAAGCCAAGAGTGGACTCCCACAAAATAAGCAGTGTCTTTGGTTGCCAAAAAGAAGAAAGCCATGTGGGTCAGCCGGGTGGTGTGGTGTTCAGGACAGTTGGATCCCACATGGCTCATCCCCCTCCCTGTGTGTGTGGGGGATGATTTCTTGCTTTGCCTCTTTCTCTCTCTCTCTCTCTCTCTGTCTCTCTCTCTCTGTGCCTCCCTCCATTGAGCATACACACCCTATCTCTGATTTAAGAGAGAGAGAGAGAGAGAGAGAGAGAGAGCGAGAGAGCGCCACAGATGGGATGGGGCTAGCCTTGCCTGGAGCAAATGGAGAGGTCTGAGGTCAGGGCGGCCCTTGCAGGTGTCCAGTGCCTTGTCCGTGAACAGAGCGCTGTTTGTACTGATGTTGGGGATACGTTACTGTGCCTTGGCTGAGAGGAGAGCTGATGCCCAGGAGATACTAGGGCACTGTCCCTGGGGGTGTGTGCATCTAGGCAGACGGTGGCAGCGCAGGGTCTTCTTTCCAGCCACATCTCTTAGGACTAGTAGTATCTGGGGAGGAAAAGCTGTGGCCCACACACTGAGGGGAGTGTGGAGTTATTGATGCTCTGGTACTAAAGGAAGGAGGTAGAGAAGGGGCATTTGGGGCAGGACACTAGCCCATGTGGCAAGGGCAGGGATGGAGAGTCTGAGGAGCAGGGGTATAAGAGGCTGAGCCAGGAGCTGGCAGGTAGCGTGGTGGTTAAGGGCGCTGGGCTCCCACGTGACTGACTGTAGTTCGAGTCCAGACCTGACGGCTTGCCTTTTCACTTTCTTTTTCTCTCTCTCTGTCCCTCTCTGGTTAAATTTAAATAAATAAATAAATAAAGTTAAATAAAATAATTCTGTATAAAAAAGTCTGAGCAGAGGCTGGAGTAGAGGGATGTTGAAGCAGCTCACTCATGGTTCGTGTTTTCTCAGGGCAACAGGATTCTCATCTGCTTGAAGAGGGAGGGGATAAGGAACGAGTGGGGCAGAGGTCTTGAAGACAGTGGTCAAGGCCCATACATACCAGCTAGGGCAGGCTACAAGGAATTTGACTCTCCGTGTAAGGTGCCTTTGCAATCACAGTGTTCTCTTTAGAGGAGGCGAGCTAGAACCAGAAGGAGGAGGGGCTTGGTCAGTGGTCACAGCCAGAGCTTCCCCTAGCGAGGATTCTGTGATTCTGTTTTCTAGGACAGAAAGTTTCCTCTAGTCCTTAGCTCCTTTTCTTCACCTTCCCCACTTCTGCCATGGGTGCTTTGAGATACGATAACTCTAATGAGATAGACGGTCACAGTGCACCCCTACTCGGTGCCATGATGTTGTGAGTGGCCATGAACGCTTCTTCCTTCACCCCCATATGCCTGGCTAAACACCAGCTCCTTGAAGGGGCCTTGGGTTCATCGTGGGTTCTGAGGTCGTCTGGCTTTCAGCAGAAGTAGGAGCTTTCCCATTCTACCTGCCCGAAGATTTGATCTGACAGGTGGTAGAGCAGTGAAAAGATACTGGTTTGCAGTTTTCCTATGCAATTCTTTTAGGGTTTGTCTTCTCCGTGTCTTCTCTCTAGTATTCACATGCGGGGGGGTGGTGGTGGTGGTGGAGATAGTATTTCAGTATTTTCATCTTTGAGTATTTGTTAGGATTGAGTTCAGCACCTAGGCCACCTGTAATTTTGTCTCACAGTGGGGTAATTTCTATAATATCTCCTAAGAATATTTAGGAGATACTGTCAACCGTTGCTTAAGTGGAGTTCTATGTGTGATGTGTCAAGGCTAGACCTTTGCAATCTACCATTTAAGTGAGATTAGGAGTTCCTTAAGGACCTCTGTGGATCCATCCTAGGGCATCGTGAGCTTTGAACTGTGCCCTGTTGATCTGACCTGGAATGACAAGCTCCTTAAACCACCTGGGACTAGCTGGGACTCTGGTATTTCTCTGGGCCTTGGATAACATGGGTCCGAGTTGGATTTTTCTTTATGTTAAGTGCTTTGTGCCTTCCTGTAGTTAGCGTTGTCAAGGCCAGGGTAGTAAGAATTTGCTAATGCAGTTTCGTTAGCCCCGACCTTCATTCACCCAGAAGGCATCTATCTGCTTTATGTTTTCTCAGACAAAGATTTCACCGTTCGTTTGGAAACGGAGAAGAGGCTGCACACAGTGGGTGAGCAGGTGGAGTTCAGGTGCATGCTGGAGGCCCAGAACATCCCCGACCGGTACTTTGCCGTCTCTTGGGCCTTCAACAGCTCGCTCATCGCCAGCATGGGGCCTAATGCCGTGCCAGTCCTCAACAGTGAGTTTGCCCACCGAGAAGCCCGGGGACAGCTGAAAGTAGCCAAGGAGAGCGACAGTGTCTTTGTGCTGAAGATCTACCACCTCCGCCAGGAAGACAGTGGAAAATACAATTGTCGTGTGACGGAGCGGGAGAAAACCGTCACTGGGGAATTCATCGACAAGGAGAGCAAGCGTCCCAAGAACATCCCCATCATCGTCCTACCCCTCAGTAAGTAGAGAGAGGAGCTACCTCCACCCCCCCTCGGTTTCTGGCACAGCAGCTAGTATTAGTGGAGAGAACAGCCACGGTGTAGGGCTGAGAGGAGGGTGGGAGAGAAAAACGCTGACCCTCTTTTCCTTTTCCAGCTTTCCTGCCCACCTTAGCAGCTCCCGGTCAGGCGGAGCGTCAGGGGCATGTCGCAGGTTGGAGGTGGGCATCAGCAGAGCCGAGCTCTAGCAGGTCGGGGTAAACGTCAGCAGAACCCACTCAGCCTGGGGGAAAACCAGGAATCCTGGAAAGCTGTTTGCTCCCATGTGGGAATTAAATCCCAGAAGTGGGTAGATCCCTATCTTGAAATCTCACTTACAGGGACTTTGGTTTTTGACAGGATCATTTTAAATTAAATTATGAAGTGCATTATTATGAAGGATTTGCTGTCTTGTTTTTTTTTTTTTTTTTTTTTGTATACTCTGGGTGGCTTTTTTTCTTTT